AAGAATATTATAATGGACACCTGGCTTCAGGTCTAAACCTAGTTGAAAAGCTGGAAACATGTAAGAGGAGATTTATACAGACCGTGTACCGCCAGCTTACGATCATTCTCCGGAAGCAGAACAAATTCGTTTGGTTGCTGAACGACCCAATCCCACAGGAATTACTGAATGCGGTGTTTTATGCGTGACTTCAACTCCGCTCGTACTGATCCTTTACATTTGGGATCGTTCAGTTCTCGATCTCGAGTATTCCGATCTGACAGCTGTTCGTGATGAGCGAGTTTTGCCTTTTCAAGCAGTTCCGAAATCCAATGCTGTGAAATTTTGTCCTTGACACCGGTCGAAGTATAAGAAGACTCCAAAGCAGCCTGGTTATCGAGACAGGCCATTCAAATTTGCCATCGAATAGTTTGAACCGTGACTTCTGTCTGACGTGGCTCTCCAGGCTGCCAGGAAAATATTCAACGGGAGTTCATTCAATTTAGAGCAGAGAAATATACCGTATAAAGGGACTGGTACCCCTCGTGCGGGATATTCAGGTTGACGACATATGTATTTCGGCAGACCATAGCCAAATGCAGGGTAAATGTTACCCGTTCAATTCTTAATAGAGGGACAATAAAAAAGTAGAAAGAAGTAAGCCATCCGCTGTTCTTCGACATCTGCCGCGAGGAAAACTGATGGCTGCTTTAGGGCGACCACGACCCCTTTATATGACGTTCAGTTTATCTTGCCAAATCCCCCGCGTTCCTTCTAAAGAGTGAGGGTGGGAGTCTTTCAGATGATTGCGAGAGTTTCAGCATAAGGTCCTGCGTCCGGCATACTGTACTATTCCAATCAACTCGACAGGGGAGTGAGCGTGACAATTTGAACCAGTTCGACAATTTGACAACCCCTGAAATGGCCGTGCCATGGGCATTGCCATGAGACACTTTTCATCCTTAGCCTAGTGAGTTATATTTACTGTTCAGCTGTACGGGAGGGAGATATTTTGCGTCACATCCAGAGAGGCCCACCCCGAGGATGAGTGCCTCACCAATCTGCTGTCCGGCTCATTGGGTGGGATCCATCTATTTTTATGATTTGCACTAGCTCAAAGGAAAGTAGAAGGAACCTAGGATGTGAAACCCTTCAGAACAGCATAGAACTTAATCGTATTGGAAATAGCAGACAGACGGCACAGATGTGCGGGCCATTAGTAAATATTTTACAGCCACGTGCAGAACTCAATATATATATGATGAATACTTGCCGCGATGGAATTTTTCTCCCCAATGACCTCCGATATCAACATTTGATTCAAATAAAATAGCTATGGGCACGGACACACATTCGTAGGAAGCACGAAACAAAGAGAGAGAAAGATAAAAGACATAGGGGTGCATACACTGCCATACCGGAATCCCAAATCAAACTTCATCCTCACTTCTAAACACCCAACATTGCGAGGTGCAAGCAAATATCGTTGTACCGTCTGATTATAAGAGACTATATTCCGTGAGGCAATGATGAAGTTGCAAGCAGCAGATCCCCGCGTCCCCCATTACTCGTCTCTATCTACCCTTTTTTGTAACCTCGGCACCAACCAAAGTCTGCTATCTATTTAGGCTGAAGATAGAAGAAGGAAAGGGATGTGGTGGATGTTGCACCGCTGCCTTTCCTGGCCTGTGTCTCTAACCACTCAAGCGGCAAGATGGGGTTCGACTCCCCGTGTCCCCACTGTTCTTCTTCTGGACGACCTCTTTTTTACTTGCACTAACCAAGGTCTAAAATAGAGAGGTTGCGCAAAGCCGCATGCGGCTACACAAAGCCGCCTGCGGAGATACCCTCTATTTCTTCTGCACATCGTCAGGATGGCTAATCAGTGCATCCCAGACCACTTGAGCCAAAGGCCAAAAAGCTGCATCGAAAGACGTTGCGCGGCCAAAAGCCGCATAGCGGCTTTTGCGCAACCTCTCTAATATATGTGTTGGATAGAAGAGGTGAAGAAAAGGATTTAGTGTACGGTGCACCGCTGCTTTCCTTTGTTACGACATCCCACATATAAGTGAGCAGCAAGACATGAAATAGAAGCAGCTTCACTTAAGTTCCGAGTGAATTTATCGCCAGCCAAACTTAAGTTGTGGCACCCCCGACTTAAGTTCTGCAGACCCCGCGTGCCGCGCTGTATGGGCCTCCCCCAGTAATCCATAACTTAAGTTCTACAACTAAGTACTCAAGTTCTATTAATATGTGTGCACCAGCGCGCCACGCGTGTGTATGGGGTGCTCTGACCACTTATTGAAGTCCTGCACCCGAACTTGAGTTCCTACGTGAAACTTAAGTTACGCCCACCCCGCAACTGAAATTTCAATTCGGGTGCGCGCGCAGGCGTGTCGGCGCGGACGAGGCGGGCGTGGGCGAGTTGAAGGAGGCGTGAGGGCGGACACGAGGCACGGGGGCGGGGCCCAGACGATGCGGGCGGACGATGCGGGCGTGGACGAGGTGGGCACGGAGGCGGGTGCGGGCTCGGATGTGCGGACAAGGTGTTAATTGAATTAGCTGCCGCGGCGCGTCTGGTCAAAGAGCGTCGCAATGGAGAAGATACAAGGATTTACAAATTAATCCCGTCATCCTCCCAGACGCGCGCGGCCTCCACAAGGTGGAAACTTGGGTGGCAAAACCTCCCAAGTAGTCGCACACAGTGCCTGCGGGCACCACCTCGCTCGACCCGATGGACAAGTTGAATGCGAGCAAGGGTGCGTCCTACCTGCCTTCCCCATCGCTCGGATGCTGATTGCGATGCCGGTGCCACTGCGCAGTCCTTGGGCTCCTGAAAAGGGCTGTCGCCTGCCTCGTCCGCGCCTGCGCCTGCCTCGTCCGCTCTCCTGCCTCGCCTCGTCCGCCCGCCTCGCCCACGGCTGCCTCGTCCGCCCGTGTCGTCTGGGCCCCGCGCCGCACCTCGCGTCCGCCATCACGCCTCCTTCAGCCTCGCCCACGCCCGCCTCGTCCACGCCCGTGCTCACCTCGTCCACGCCCAGCTCGTGCGCACCGACGCGCCTGCCCACGCACCCGAATTGAAAGTTCAGTTGCGTGGGCGGAACTTAAGTCATTGACGAGACTTGAGTTCCGGCATGAAACCTGAGTTCCACCTACACAACTTAAGTCTCACGTAGGAACTCAAGTTTGGGTGCGGGACTTAAGTGGTCAAAGAGACACGCGTGGCGCAATGGTGCGTGCATATTAACAGAACTTAAGTAGTTGTAGAACTTAAATTATAGATTACTGGGGGAGGCTCTCTACAGCGCAGCAGCAGAACTTGCAGCTGATCTCGAAATTAATGAGATGGCCCGACTTTTTTTTTTCGCGTTCCCAAAAGGGAATGTTTGCTCACCCACGTCTAATCCATTCAATAATTACATGTGATTGAGTGCCTTGCCTCCCTATAGGTTGTCAGTCCCTCAAAACGACATAGAGAAGCTTGAGTGCGCGCCAATGGCCGAAATAATACACGCGATCAATGAAACACGTGATCGTCCGGGCTTTCCCGACTTTGGCGTTTCCGCATGATTTCCTCCCATTTTGTGGGGCGCTCTTGCTCAGGGAGTTCACAACTGGTCACTGTAACATCAAATCTCGTTGCAGGTACTCTTGGAGGTAAGGCAGACTCTTGTTTCGCTGGAATCTCCTTTTTGGGAATGAGCAAAAAAAAACTGATCGGTCTCATTAATTTCGAGATCAGCTGTAATTTGGGGGTGCTACAACTCAAGTTCCGCTGGCGATAAATTCTCTTAGAACTTAAGTAAAGCTAATAAAGTATTTGGCAAGACAGGGTTCGATTCTCCGTGTGCCTATTCTTCTTTCGGAACCACTTTTCTTGCTCAGACCCACGAAACTCTCCTGCATCCCATTAATCATGTCCCTCAGACTTTTTTTCGCTCGTGCTCACTGAAGTGTGCTGTATATTTGGGTTGAAGTCGGAAGGAAGGAGGGGATGTGGTTTATGGTGCACGGCTGCTTCCTTTCCGGTGTGATTTTAACCGAGCAACAAGACAGGGTTTGACTCCCTGCATCCCCATTCCTCAGCTACTTTAAGCACTTTTTCCTTGACTCGCTCACTGAAGTCTGCCATGTATTCGAGTTGAAATCGAAGGGACAGAGAGGATGTGGTGTATGGTGCACAGCTGCCTTCCTTTGCCTTGGGTTGTCATATAAGCAAGCAGCAAGACGGGGTTCGACTCCCTGCGTCTCTATTAAGTATCGGTGTAGAATTTTATTTTGTTCATGCTCCCTGAAGTGTGCTGTATCTTCGAGTCGAAACTAGAGGTAAGGAGGGGATGTGGTGTATGGTGTGCAGCTGCTTTCCTTATCTGTGGCTCCTAAAATGTAACCCAGAAGCAGGTAGGAGTTCGACTCCCCGGGTCCCCCATTCACGTTCATAGTGTTCTTTTTTTGTTGCCCACCCATCGAAATCGGGGAGGTGTTTGTGTAGGAATTAGAGGGAGGGGATATGATCTATGGTGCACAGCTGCATCTCTTACTTAGGATTCAAAAAAGTGAGCAAGTGGCAAGACGGGGTTCGATTCCCCATATCCCCATTGGCAGCCTTTTTTTGCTCGAACTCACGGAACTCTACTATTTCTTCGAGTTGAAATTGAAGGGATGCAGGGGATATGGTGTATGGTGCACAGCTGCTTTCCTTAGACATGAGGTCTTCCAGCTAATTAAACAACCAGCAAGACGGGGTTCGACTCCCCGCGTCCCCATCCCATTCCTCGAGGTTTTTTTTTTTTGCTCGGACCCACGAAACTCTGCTATTTGTTCGAGTAGAGATTGAAGGGATGCAGGGGATGTGGTGTACGGTACACCACTGCCTGTCTTATTATGGATTGAAAAAATGAGCAAGTAGCAAGACGGGGTTCGACTCCCTGCGTCCCCATTCTGCTTCTATATTCCAATTTTTCCCCCTGGCTCGCACAGAAAAGGCTGCCATTTATCTGTGTTAAATCATGGGAAAAGAAGGGGATGTGGTGTACGGTGCGCATCTGCCTTTCTTGCAGTCCTTGAAATGATACATATGAGCAGAAGGTAGGAGGGGTTCGACTCCCCGCGTCCCCATTTTCTGTTGCGTGAATGCTTTTATTTTGCTTGAACCCAGCGAAAGCTGCTATCTATTTGAGTCAAAGTCACAGGAGAGGAAGGGATGTAGTGTACGTTGCACAGCTGCCTTTCCCGGCCTGTGTCTCTAACCACTTAAGCGGCAAGACGGGGTTCGATTCCCTGCATCCCCATTAAGCTCCTTTCGCTTTTTCCCACCCACGCAGAAAAGGACTTTGTATATTTGAGTTAAAACTGGAGAGAGGAGGGGACTTAGTGTACGGTGCACAGCTGCCGCACTTGGTAAAAGATGGATATCCCTTAGCAGCAAGACGGGGTTCGACTCCCTGCATCCCCATTCCCGCTTATAATGTTCCTTTTTTGTCGCACACCCACCGAAATCTGGTAGGTGTTTGTGGTGGGATTAGACGAAGGAAAGGGATGTGGTGTACGATGCACCGCTGCCTTCCTTTGTCTTTCGTCTTGGGCCGACATATTATAAGCAAGCAGCAGCATGGGCTTCGATTCCCCGCATCCCCATTATTCTCCTCTCCACATTTTTTTCCCACCCACGCAAAAAAGGCTCCTGTATATTTGAATTCCAATTCGAGGTATGAGAAGCTCGTACGCGCCCGATTGCAGGTCTGCTCTAAGGTATACATGTATGTCTGCAGGGTGGATGGGATGTGGAGGTGAATTTTGATGCATATATGGGTGGTCGTGGTGTGTGCTGCTGAATGCTGAATGTGGTTGAGATTCAGATTCGAGATTTCGATTCAGATATCAGCGCTCGAGAGTTGAATCGATACAATAAATACAGGGAGGGAGGACGTTAGTAATAGGAAGGAAGGAGTGGAAGACGGACCGCCTCCCGAACCTCCTGCGCGGACGTGGGACGTTCCAGCGATGACACTGACGGGACCTGGGATGGAAGGCGAGAACTTGTGTCAGACGTGAGAAAGCGCCGACGTGGCTGTGGGAGAAGCTGGGGGAAGGTGGGAAGCGCAACCCGCAAGGGGTATTTGCCCCACATGGAGGTGCTTCTGTGATTGCTGCTCCAAGCAGCGAGTGCGGGTATGTGTGGAGTGTAGGCAATACGCGCCACGGGGTAATGGGGTACTGGCTCGGCGTGCCAAGTGGGTTCGGGGAGGGAAGGGAAGGGGAGGAAGGGAATAGGAGGGAATAAGGCGGGGGGACGTCGGAGCGGACGAAATAAGTAAACGCGTTTGGTTAGGCCGTCCGACAAGCGGCTTGGATACGAAGCGGGGGTCGTTGATGCGGTTAACAGCTATAATACCAACGTCAACCCCAGAAGTCGACTACATACAGAACACAGTGACATTCCTGATATTGTTGACGCCGGAGTCAAGTCGGCGTCCGGCTTCCATTCGCAGGGCACCGGCAGGGGGTGTCGACGATGGATCCGCGCTGTCGTTGGCACAGTAGGCACCGGATATGATTCAATGAATGGATATCAAGGGGAAGATGGCTGTCTATCTGCCCAGTGTGCGGTATTCATGCTATCGCGCCGCGCCGCGCGATCAAGACCGTCAAGCTTCAAGACTTAATTGATTTGGCTAACGCAAAGGTGTATCCACAAGACAGGCAGCTGTCGTTACGGCACCCACCTGCGCTGCGTCTCGCTTTCGTTTCAGCTTGGTTTCACCTCCCATTCCATTTCACTTTCCCTCTCCAATTTCACTCTGAGGTTGGAATAAACGCGAATTGGACGAGGTACGGCGGACCCAGTGTTCACCCTATCTACGGGTTTTTCGCCCGGCCTCGATGTGGTGGAGACGATCGAGATTAGTTCCAGGTTCCTTCCCAGCCACGGTTTCGAGGATAACAATCTCAGGGGCGGTACTACAATTAAATACAGAAATAATTGTTTTTGATATGTGACTGGATTCACGTGGTGTTACTAGTGACTTCAAGTTAGGGTTATCCTCGTGACTTCAAGTTAGGGTTATCCTCTCCGTGGCTACACCGCCATTTCTGTTGGATCTGATGGGGACATCCGGCGGTTGATCTCCGGCGGCCATCTGCCAAGTCTGCAGGATCTGTCGAGGATGTTCTCAGGAGACTGAAACACAGGTTCGCATATAGTCCAGGGACCCTGAGCTCCGAACAACATCTGGATTCGGGCCTTTGGATGAGCTTCCTCGTGTGTATCCTATTATCACTTCAATATGTATCCCTCCGAGATCTTTTGGTAGCCCATTTGATGCAATCCAGACCATTTATAATTGACTTTTCTGGCATTCACAATAGATATACATGGAAGCCGATACGGTGTATTACGATGATGCAATTAATTATGAATTAAAAAAAGGACAGCTTTGCGCAGAGAGGCAATGGAGATTAATCAAGGGTCGTCGGTGACACAGCAGCCAGGTGGTCCAGCTTGACTTTCCCGTATAGGGCCAAGTCGTCGTTGAGAGACCTGCCGAACATTCTGACAGAAGGTCAGAGACTGAAAACCATGGGACATTATAAACTCACTTCGATCTTTCCGTCTCGTCGGTTATTTGGTCCCTGATCTCGGCTACACCATCGTCGACGTCCTCCCAAAAGCCTGGGGCCTGTTTGAAGCCCTTATCGAACTTAGCCTGGTAAGGTAGCGGACAGACAAGTACGGTTACCCCACGTGATCCAGTGTGACATGACCATATTGGGAACGGATCCACCGAAAAGTTCGGAAAACGCGAATAATTAAGACACAAGGGGTAGAGTAAAAAATCGGGCACAACAGTTCTCTGCAGATCGGTCCGATACTGCCTTATGAGGTTTGATATCAGCAAAATCTCCAGAATTGAGGGACTAGTTCCCAAAATTGTAAGTACCGAACACAACTGCACTGTTCTTTTTCTGCCGAAGTTCCACTGTGAACTTAATCCCATCGAGATGATCTGGGGATACGCCAAGCGGATCTATCAGCTAAACCCCGAGTCATTGCGGGAAGATGCCCTCGAGCGGAACACACTTAGCGCACTGGAGCAGATTCTGCTTGAATGCATGCGCTGGTTTGTTCTCCAGGCTAGGCTGCTTGGGCAGCACGGAAGTACAAGGGACATTGTTTCCTTCCTCCGGGATGGTTGGCGGAAATGCGGGCGGCTAGAATTGTGCGGGGCGGGAACCCGAATGCTGGTTTGTAACATGTGGACAGTATAATTGGAACTCGTCCTTCAATCTTGCCCCAAAATAACCGAGAAAATTCGTGAATACACTTAAGCTATATGTACACAAAATTGTTGTGGCCGATTTTTTATAACTCGCCGAAAAGTGGTGTAAAGGAGGGTTGAAGCGTATTCCATCCCAAAAAGGTTCTGTGACCGTCACATCACGTGGGGTAACCGTACTTGTCTGTCCGCTACCTTATTTGTAACGCTACAGAAAATCAGAAAATGTGTGATCATAATAGAGAGTAACATACTGAGTAAGCAACGCGCCCCATCTCCATTGACAACTTGATGTCTGGAGCAACCTTGGAGCCCACCGCAAGTATACGCTGACAAAGCACAAGGATGTCGATGCCATTCTTGCGGGTGGGCTCCCCAGGTAAAACGACCTCCCCTGGTTCACGGGCTACACCCAGAGAGTGCTTGACCTTGAGGACCGTCATAAATAAATGAAATGGCCAGCCAGATTGACGACTCACAAGTTGCTTGATAAGATTGCAATGAAGACATGTCAGAGCGCATCGAAATCCAGCAGCAGATCAACAGGTTGCCACTCCTCCAAAACCACTCGATATTCGACCAGTTTTCCGACGAGTTGGAGGATAACACAGAAGAGTCAACTGTTGATGGAGCTTTTGCTGCTGCTATGCGTCGAATGGGTAAGCAGATAGCAAGTTCTAGACGGAGAGTTGCTGATGGTTTCGTGTAGGAATTGAGGAAGAATCTGATGAAGAAGGCGAGGAAGACTTCGCGTTTGCCAGAACAGATGAAGAAGAAGCCTGGTTTCCCCATGGATCACGAACAGTAGGTTTTCGTGGTGAGGGAATGACAGCTTCTGAGACTTTATCAGATGTTCATGCTCGATCTCCTGGATAACTTGCCTAGACTCCGCCTGTCCGATGATCATCTGAAGTCAATCATATGGGTTATGCGGGAATGCAAAACCCCGAATGTGCCCAGCTTCTCAGCCTTACGGAAGAAACAGGCATCTTTGACACGGGAAGTTGGAATCAAAAGTGAACATCACACGTCCTCGCTCGGAAATAACTTCTACATGAATCACCCTGGCAAACTGCTTGCTTTGGTATCACCATTCAACTCTACCTGACCTGCCGTCATTAAATTCAAAGCATTACAGGATTGGGCAAATCCCCTTGTGCGCCCCTTCATCCATGTTTATCCCGAGGTTTCGGGCCCCATCTGCGAGTCTTGGCAAGCTGAGAAATGAACTACGGAAATTGACTTGGACGACCTATCGCCGATGTGGGCAGATTGGCAGAACAAGTCTAATTCTCACCGCCACTTCTATATTAAAGAATTGGCTCAACAACGCGACGGAAACTATGTTGTACCCGTTCGCTGGGTCACAGTCAACAATGTGGTGCATGCTGATGTCCAAGATGTAGATTATGTTGAGACTGGGAGGGTAATCCGCTCTTTTGCTGCTCCGAGTCTTCCGTTAATTTTTTTCAGGGGTATCTTTTCAATATCCGGACGGGCAACTTTCGGAGAATTCCAGCATCTAATCTGGAATCAAATTACCTCGATCTGCGCACTTCGTCTAGCGTGGTTTTCACTGGCCAGTTAAATTTGCTTACCGCTTCACTGTCACTTACTGGCCTACAGGCTACTCCCCGCAATACCCAATGCCTCATCCGTCGAGAGAGAAGGCTCAAGGACGGCCAATTTTTCGTAGACGCATGGAGCAAGGAACGGCCCTGAATTATTTCAAGAAGAACGGAATCGGCACCGTAGATCGACTGATTAGGATCGCAGCGTATCTTCAGAGGGGTACTCATAAGTAGCGCTCATCAACCAGCTCTTCGAAGCAGCGCAGGGCCT